CTCTCTAATTCACATAGTGTAAGAAAATTCTGGTAATAGTTCTTTTATTTTCACAGAATATTCATTATTGTAATAATAATAATAACTTTAAATTTAGATAATTAAATAAAATATAACAAATCATAATACAATGTAAATTACATACCATCCAGATTATTTGAAATTAATTTTAAATATTAAAAGTTACTCTATAGCAGTAAATGGCATCTTTCAAAAAAAGCTTTCAAAAAAAGTTTTAAACTAGACATTTTATTTGTTGTACTATGGAAATTTTTCAAACATTGATCACAAATACAACTACATTTGTTTACAAAATATTGCCAAAAAAGTTTTCAAAATGAGAAAGAAAGAGATGAGTGACAGTCAGAAAGCTTTCATTGAGAGAGCGATTGAACATTTGAAAAATAATTTAATAGCATTTTATACAACATTTTAATTTAGATATGTAAATTTATTAAATTAAACTATCTACCACTTGCAGTAGTTGGTCACTATCTATCTGAATGCATACAAGTAATAATAAATTGACTATAAAGTCTGTTGCCCTATAATGCCAGCGTTTGCCCGATTATGCACGCATTAACAGACTATGCTCTATAGTATTTGATGTTTAATTATTTGTTTGAAATAATCATAAATAAATTTATAATCAATTGATTTCGCGTTAAATATAGGGATTTGCCACAGAATTGCACTTTTCATCCGTGAGATTATAATTGGATTTATTTGATTAAAATCCTCACCAAAAATATTAATGAATTCATTCATTATATCCGATATATTTATTGTATTATTTTTAGACTCTTTTTCCACGAGTAATCCATTAATAAATCCCTGTATTTGATCCATATTTACGCCAAAAGTATCCATAATATACGCGCTGTAATCAATGTTTTCATTATAATTTCTAATAAATTAAAAATAACATTATATTTTTAACCATTAGTCATTTGTGAAAACAATAGTGGTTTATAGGAAAGTTAGGCTATAATATTGAACATGAGATTACAGCTTAAGTCTAGTTAACTAATTAGCTTGTTATAATTAAAATAATGTAATAAATATAAATACCTATTATGCTTTAAGTGTATTTCAAATAAATGTCTCATGATAGTACCAGTGAAATGTAAGTGCATGTCAAACTTGGTAGATTTTGTTAAAATAATTTGGAGATCATCATCATCAATTCCATAATTTATTCCCAAATGATCAAAATCATAATATACTTTCATATATGTGTCGCTCATTATATTGTCATTCATTATAAATATATTCTTAGGATGGAATGACAAATTCTTTTCATTCACACCTTGGTCAATCAATTTTTTAATACAATATAATAATTGTCGCGACAATTGTATTGAAATGATAAAATCGATTGAAATCATTGCCAACGAGTGATAGGTTTGTGTCCATAATATCACGTGTTTTGCATTTGTAACATTCCATAGAGTTAACGAACAATACTCCGATTGTACGTAAATCTCGTTGTTATCGAACCATGAGTTATAGATTTGCAGCAAATGTTGTGGTTTTGATGCAAATATTTTATTAATACTTATTATGGTTTGTTTTCTTTTGTTGTAGTCTAGAAATGATAAATATTTATAATATAACCCAGATGTAAATGTACTAGATTATTTTATAATTTAATATTATAAGTAATTACCATATTGTTGATTCGATTTACCAATATAATAAAATGTGTTGTTTTTATTATTCCAGACTTTTACCAACTTTGTATCATATATTAAATGATTCGTTTGAACAAGCTGATTCTTATAGCATTTGATAGTATCAACAATATCTGTAATAATAAAACAATATTTTTCAGTAATGAAAACAAAAATGTAAGATGTAACAAAAATGATAAAAATTAAAAAAAATGTTAAGTTACCATTATTTTTATCATGTGTTTGACAAATAACATGGAATTCATAGCATTCGCAAAAATAATGGAAAAATAGTGTGAATTTATTCTCAAACATAGTATTAAATAATGAATTGTTTTTCTCAACAATCGTTTCAATCGATAAATGTTTTAATTGTTTTAAAATGACTTCACATTCGGGTCTTAGTCTCCAATCAGTCTTTCCATATCTCTCTGTATATATACTAACACTCATTGTAAGCAATAAGCGGTATATTTCGGACAATTTATTGCCAAGATTTAAATTATCGTAGTTTTCTAAATTGAAATTCAGTCTAAAAAATACAATTATATTTTTATATTTATATAAAATTTATATTCATTATGTATTTATATTATAACATAACATACACTCCGTCTCTGATATCGTTTGAATCAAAACCAAATATTTTCGCTCCAATGAGTGCCAGACTATAGACATCTATTAAATGGTTGTATTCAGTGGTCTGTCCTTCGGGTGCCATATAGTGAACGACATTTTCGGTGTGTTTGACATTACTTTGTTTGTATCGATCACTCAATACATGCACTTCTTTAGACAAACCGAAGTCACATAACTTTATATACCTATGATTTTTAAAATCATAGGAAAAATCATTATGGGTATTGTTTGTAATCAACACATTATCGGGTTTGAGGTCTCTGTGAATGATATGATTGTTATGCAAATACTTCACACTTTCCACCAATTGTTTGAATATTTCATACGATATATAATAATCAAATTCAGTAGTTATTGTTTTCCCAAATAACTGCCTCTTAATTATTAACAGCTCTTTTAAACTTCCGTCCAAACGATCCATAAGTATATACAACGAGTTGTATTGAATCCACGAATAATGATATTGAATGATATATTTTGATCGCAATTTTATCATATTCTGAGTCTCTCTCATCAGATTTTGCTTATGTTTATCAGTCAAACCTTAATATAAAATACATTTTATAAATTTGAATAAATCTAAGTTAGATTGGAATTTCATGAGCAAAAATGTCGTGGTACTGTACGGGGGTTAGTATATTTGTATAATGTGACCACAATATACATATTCCTGAATCAGATAACTCGGGTGTTTGTGGCCATTGGCACGATCGTACACATTAATATACACCTAGTGTGGTCACAGTCCACACATACATGACCCGTACCCCATCAGGAAATGCTTGTTTATAAAGTTTCTAACCTGGTATATCTAAAAGGCATTTTTTAAGCGCATAATTATTGCCATTGCGTTTATCCCGCACTTCAACCACTTGTCCAAAACCCCCGGACCCTAACGTTCGCAATGTTTCATACATTTCTATGTTATTTATTCCTACAATAATTTATGATAAAATTAATTAATTGTTTTATGTAAATGTTATATCATAATTATTTTATATATTAAATAATGTAACTTACCATTGTGCTGTATTGTGTTTAATGTTTGAGCACTAGTATTATATTTAGTAATATCAATGGTCTTATGGATTAATTTAGTGCTATTTATGAAGTATTCATCAAATGTTTTGCATAGAGTCTCAGTAAATACATTGAGCTCTTCATTATATTCATACACTTTATTATCGCTTATGCCTATAATATTACTATAAGCGCATAATTGAGCGAGATCAGTAAACAGCAAGTTATTAATCGCCACCATGCTGCCATCACTTAAATCATATTTATAGACGTGTTTATCATTTAATAGCATAATTAAATATTTAAACATATATTTCCAATTCAAGTTACACATCGTATGTACAATACATGCAGTTTTAACATTACTAACATTTGGCAATAATCTTGGTTCAATTGATCCAATTGTTCCATTGTCCACATACTCGCCCCACATAAACACCACACCATTGTCTGTAATGGCAAACGAGTTGATATAAGTGCACACAATGTCCACAATTTTATATTCAGCGGGAAATTGTATTTCAATCGGTTTATGTGTTTCCAGTAATTTATATTTCCAATGATATAAGTAGGTAAGGAGCCCTTATAGCCGCAAAGCACTGTCAAAGGCAGGGATTTGACTCCGCCCACTTTACTCATCAACCAATCAGATGCTTAGATTGCTCATAAGCCACGCCCACTTACGTCTAAACCAATCAGAGGCTTGTATTGTGATGACGTCACACTGGTCATGTGACATACT